AATTTGGGATGACGTATTACAGTTTCTATTTCTTGTCCTGGCCAATATTAGAATATGCAGAAATGTTATAACAAAAATCACTAGTTTCTGCTTTAAACTTTTTTGTCAAGTTAAATAGCTGAATTTGGTCCAAGGTGTGGGCAAGGACTGTATTCAGCTCCTCATTTATCTAAATCATTAATCTAACTCCTTAACAGCTAATCCCTTATTATCATAGCCAGAGAAAACTGCTGAAATGTCAGATTATTCTTTCCAGTTAGAAATAAATTGGCACAATTGGCAGCTCTGTTCCAACACTGCCTCATAGATCATCCAAAAGACCTTACAGGATAAAGACATACCTCCATCCTTCAGTTTTAATAAGCATCTCTTCTCCTTCTTCTCAGGCTGTACTTTCAAAAGCCTTTCTTTAAGCAACAATTCTGATTTTAAATAGCCCTCCTTCACACAGCCTTCAGTCCATTATGCCAGGACATCCCTGTTAGCATGACAAGGTGCTGAGTTGATGCTGATTAAAAATAATCAACCAAAACAAACAAACAAACAGCACCACAGCAGCAGCAAAGAGAGAGGGATATGTGGTGGAGACAGGGTGAGATGCTGAAGTCAACACTGCGACTGAAGGAAATGTTGATAAAACAACACTTTCAATTTATTATGAACTCATTTTCTCCTTGCCCAATTCAGTATGCCAGAGACTGGATGCAAAACCGGATCACACTCCTTCCTACAGGCATCCTGTAACTAATAAGGAGTTCATTTTCAATGAGTTGAAAGAGCTGGACTTGTCTGTCCTGAAGTCCTCTTCTTCCCCTTTTAATATCTAACACAGCAGCAAAATGCTATGCTACCCCTTTGAAGTAGGGAGTCCAAACACCCTCCCTTAGCCCCTTTGGTGGCAACGTCATCACCTAGCAGCTATCTCAGTTTAATACTGTGACTACCCTGTAACGTTGATCTTTGCGACCTCTTCAGTTGTTTTGGTTCTCATATGTGAAGTACTCATTTTAAAAATACAGATATTACTTAGTTAAGGGGATTGATATAGATGTCTGTTCCCTGTGACATCTAAAGGTCTAGTTAGACTAAGATTATAAATCTATCAGGATACAGATCTTTAAAGAGCAACCAGCTGAAACTTTCCCTGCCCTAGCAACAGCTGTATACCCAGGATTTTTATTTCCCCAGACCCTGACTTTCTTCAACATCTTTAATAATTTCCAGTAACTTTGTAGTACACACCTCTGACATTATCTTGTTGGGCAAAACAAGCAGATTTAAAGGAGGAATCATTGCACAGATATCATCTCCTCTTGCGATCAAGTCATCCCTAAGGCACGAAACACTTCTTTCACTCAAGAGCTTCAGCATCCTGCCCCTTGTAAGAAAAACAAACACAAACTAAAGAAAAAAGCAAAGCTACAGGATCGCCAGGCATGAAAAAAATGGAAACATGTTCCATCCAGATTCAAACACTGACAAATTGTACTGCACAGCACTCCAGTAGTTTCATTTCTCCAGTAAAACCAATAAAAACATCTAAAGAACCTAAAATCTCTACAGGCATCAGGCCAGATGATCACAGATACCTGTATCTGTACCTTCACCTATCAAGGATGCGTACATAATTGAGGCACATAAGCCATTAATCATCCCAGGCATGTCAGACTGCAAGGGAATATTGTAGATATGCATCCAAGTGACCTTAGCATGCTCCCATATATCACAGGCTTGCATACCTATGTGAATAACTCGCTTAGATGTAAGTATCTCTGAAATTCAAGGCCTTCCTGATTTAGGAAAATAACAGCATTTAACTCATTTACAATGAAACTGTGCTACCCATTATTTATTTTCATAAGTGACTAACCTCCAGCTTCCAGACATATTTCAAAACTAAGGTTGTCTAGATACTTAAAGGATCAGTAATACACTGACAAATTTTATTGTGAATTGAATCTGAAAGAAATCTCCTAAATTTCACAGCGTAGCAGTTACAACTCTTAGAGTTATCCTTGTACTATATTTCGGCATCTGGCTTGTATAATACTCCACTTGTCCAAGAGGTTACATAGAGGTTACCTACAGCTTTCTCTACGGTTAGGAGCAAATCTTTCCTTTAGATCAGACAATTAGATTGGGTTACCTAAGGTAATTGCAAGCAACATCACTGTCAGATCATAATAGAGAGCACGGTCTCCCTTTCCCACTATACCTATTAAAACCTAGCTCTCAGCCTCATCAGAATCCATCTGCCAGTCAGTAAGTTGCCAGGTGACCTTTTGTGCACTTAAGGAGAAAAAATACTTGCAAAGTTTCACATCAAACATTGGCAAGTGACTAAACAGTCACAGCAAAGTTCCTGCCTAGGCAAAAAGCAGTAAGAATTATGCTTTACTGACCAAGAATACCACACACAATAAATGGTAACTATATATATTATATATATATACACATACGTGTATGTATATATGTATCTATGTATACATGCATGTACATACATGCATACCTGACACCTGCACTCCCAGCTAACTCCCTTCTACTAACAATAGCTACTTAATTACTGACTCTTTAAAATCTGACACTGTCTTTATGCATCACTAAATTGAAGAAAGCAGAGCAGCAGCTGCAGATGCCAGTTACCTTGCAACAGTATGCTAACACCGTTAATTAGGTATTGGTGTGAGTTATTAGCAAGTTCCCAAAAGGTTTTGAAATACACCAATAATTTCTGTGTTTGAATGCAAGCAGCCTCTGCCTCAAACACACCTTTGGATACAGAATGCCTGTGCCACTTAACTTGATGGATCGACGTCCTGGACAATGCCCTCCGTTCATAACAGCAACAGTTGGAAAGAGCCATTTGTCTCCAGTCAGCAAGGCTGCTAAGCCATATTATATTCCAAATACAAAATTATTTGAATTATTAGAAACTACTCCTGAACGATTTAGAAAGGAAATAGAGCAAGCTAGCCAAAAGGCGATTATAAAAAAGTGTTTGAACTGTTATGCTAATATGCTATCTTTTCTTGAAATCATCAGTTGTATGCAGGTCAAAAGCACTGACAATCCATATATCAGCTATGGTCATGGTATTTAACTGCCCATTTAGACTCCAGAGCCAAAACATAGATTTAGAAACCTTCACTCACTTTTTGCCTAATCTTAGAAGCACCTAGGAATTTCCTATGTTTAAATTCTCTATGTTCCTATCTCCTGAGACAAGCCTTGCCCATAAGCCCCTCTGTCTCAACAGCACTCTACAGCTGAGAGTAAAAGATAGGTAGGTAGGTTGATCACTGAGGTTTTCAACTCACTGAAATTACTGGCTTCTTTTAATACCTTATGTGGTACCCTTGTGATTAGGAGTTTTTTAAGCTCATTTCCTCACATGCCGGTGAGGAGCACTTCAGAAGTTTCCTCTACCATAAGGAGGGGAAAGCGATTAAATGTGCCGTGGTCGCATCCCACAGATCAGCTGATCGCAGGCGCAGTTCTGTCGTGGTGAGTCTGCCCGGACTTGAGGTGTTCCCCGGAGACCTCCTCATCTCGGATGGTGCCATGGACTATCTGCCCCCTGCGGCCCTGCTGCTGAACACAGGTCAGACACAGGCTGGAGTGTGCCCATCTCAGCCCCGTTAAAGCCACAACTAAGGTCCATGCGCACATGGGGTCAGGAGCAAAGACCAGTACCATGACAATGTGGGGGGACTCAGATCGCCTCCCTCCTCCGCAAAGTTGGAGCAACCAGAGCCCAGGGCAGGATCTCCATCAGAAATTACAAATTCCTACCTACCAGCTTTAAGCAGAGGGAAGGGTGTGCCTCATGACAGCCTTTCAATTAGCGCTCTGATCACAAAGCTTGTAGACCCAACCCATGGCTACAGGTTGCCACGAAACCTTCCAATGTTCAGATATATAGACCTGCAAGCAGTTTCCACAAATATCTATTGTGGAATATAGCACAGTGTTCAGTGTGATTGCCAATGACCACAAGATGCTTGTGACTGGAAATATAAGTTTTCCTCAAAAAAAAAAAAAATCAAGGGCACAACAAGCAGTTTCACAGAAGCAGACAAGCTAGTCTTCCTCAAAAGGGTGGCCCAGGCCCCAAAAACCGAGAGAGGAAATTTTGGACTGTGACTGCTAGTCTCACATAGGCCTGAAGGTAGGTAGTACAATTTCAGAAAAGAGCATTTTGTTCCAAATTTCTTACCGAGCAAACTCAAACCCTGCCATGCACTCCTTCATTTAGATTCCCAGCTTTCTCTGCGCCTCACTAAGTAAAATAAATTATATCTGCACCATGGTGCCTAACACTGCTATAGGTCTGAGGCTTAGGCTATTTAGGGTTGTTTATTCAAAGAGCTTTAGAGCTGTGATCCCACGAACGTCTCTCCCTAAAGAGACTGCTCTGTATAGACAACGGTACGTGCACTGCTATAGCAATGTTGTTAAATTCACAAAAAGTGCCATAAGCATTTGCATAGAGCCAAGACACCACTAACGAGCAGACATAGCCTAATTCTTCCTGCAAAGCAACAAAGACCTTTAAGAAGTAAAGTATGATGCCTTTTCCCATGTTAAGAATTGACAATCATATGCTGATCATCTGCAGCAAGTGGGAGTGTTTAGCATTAGCCAAGATCCCGTCACAGATGGACATCACGTTTGCTGAGAGGATCCCAGTTCAATAGCCTTAATAGTTTTTAAGTCTGGTGCACAAACTGCCTAAGCAGAACTGTTAAATTTGAGCTAAATACAGTATAGTATATCAGGCTTCACCTAAAAGAAAATAACTATTCTCTTCCGACTATCTGTTTCTTTACTGATAACACATTTGTTTTACCCATTAGAGTCCAAAAAGCCAAGGTGGCCATTTGCCAAAAGAGGAATTGTGAGTATTACACCATATGTTTGTTTGGTTTTTTTTTTCGCTTGCCCTAACTTTGCCTCCTCACAAAACTAACTAGGTAAAGAGTTACTACTTTCCTGCCTTGGGGAAAGGCAGGTGAACTGAACATAGTAGCCTTCACCCTAGTGCCTAGAGCCCACCAGGTCGTAATCCGTAACTAAGGTAGGGTGGGTCGAACATGCCCACCACCGCCCTGCGTGTGACCCATGTGGCAGCTCCCGCAAGTCCCCCCCCACCCCAGCATCACCTCCCAGCTAGCACCTGTGGACTGGGGCACGGGTAGCTCAGTCGTGCCCTTGCTTTGCTTGCACCAGCATAAAGTTTCATTTGTGAAAATGCATTTGCTGGTGCATTGGTTAAACACACATCTATGTGCATACACACACATATACACACACATCATTACAATATTGTATCTGCTCCATTTCAAGTCATTTTACAGAACTGAAAGTTCAGCTTAAGTTGTGAATTTCAAATATTATAATCAAACACATATTTCAGAACGGGCTTGAGTTCAAATTCAGTCAACACAAATCCAAGAAGTGCAACCACATAGATCCAGAAAGCAGATAAAACATAGTCAAATACCTTAGAAGTCTAAGATCACAGCACTACATTTGGGGTGGTGAATATTCATTAAACCTTGTGCATGGCACTGCTGGTTTGAAAAACAAAACAAAATAAAAACAAAACCAATTGGTTTTATTTCATGACCCCTCACACACACAAACTCTGCCTGCTCTTTGTCAAAGCTCGTTTCACAGAGACTATTCTACAGCTGTCCAGAGGAGCTTTATGACTATGTTGCTCAAATCAAAAAAAAAAAAAAATCCAAGATTTGTATACATAAGATGATAGGTGAGGGAAGAATTAAATTTTAAGTTTTGTAGTCCCATACTTCTGACTGCGCTGAAGGAAACAGAATCCCATTATTTGTCTTATATTCTCAGGGTAGTCCATCGTCTGTTGCTATACCAGTGATTAGCTCTGCCAAAGGATTGTTGTGTTATATAAATAAGCTCTTATTTACACAACCACGTATCTAAGCCACTTGCTCACCCCACCCATAGCTATAAATAAACCTGCCATCCCTGTCTCATACACCATGAGTATCAATCACCATCAATCAAACACCGTGATTTCCAAATAAGAGGAAATCAGAGTGTTGGAGGAAAGCTCCTTGCAGATCAGCCCAAGGTTAATGAACTGAAAAAAATCTCTTACTGGTCTTTAAAATATTGTATAAATTAAGGGTTTTTCTGTTTTTTTGTTTTGTTTTGTTTTGTTTTTTTGTCATTAACCAGAGTAAGGACAAACAGAAGCAAGCATCTGATCTGGAAAACTGTCTTTCAACTGTTAAGATCATAGATTTCATCACATATGAATTTTGCCATTTTAAGGTATCAAAAGAATTAGTACCAAAGAAGCTATCTAATTAAGCTCTTAAAGATGAGGATAAAACTTTTGTGTTCTTTTTAAATTACCATTTTTCAACATATTAATCTGAATATGAAAGCTATCTGCAAAATTAGTGCATAGGCCTAAAGTATAAATTCAGTGTTTGCGGTGGAGGGGTGGGGGGGACGCAAGTGTGGTTACAAACTTATCAGGAGCCCTTGCAGCCCCCGCAGCTTTGCCAGGCTCGCAGACCCCACAGTTTGAGGCGGACAGAGGTACCTTCCTCATCGAGAGGCAGCAGCTCCCGAATCGATGCTGTTGGCAGTGCCTGCAGTACACAGGAGAGAAACTGCAGCCCTGCAGGCACCCAAAAACAGCTGGAGGAGCTGCTCCGGGCCCATTTAGCCAAACAGGACAAGGTCATCCCCATTGCTGCTGCACTAGAGAGTGCTGCTTGTGAAGCAAGGCTGGGAAGCAAGAAACCTGTCTTATGAGCAAGCATCTCTGAGTCATCTTTACCAGATGCCCTGGGACCTACTAGGTGATTTCTCTAGGACTAGAGCCTCCAGGGTACTCTAATAGCTAGAAAACACAGATCCTGCATTCAAGTGCCACTTTGATTCCCAAAGCCGTCAGTCAGCTTCAGCTTGATCCTATAGGCAACTAATACCTCATGTTTCTAGCGAGGGAGGTGCACCAAGATAATGCCCCATTCCCCACTACCTGGGTGCTCAGAGCCTCAGCACAGGCACAACTCCTGCGATCCCCCAAAAATAGCTTCTCAAGGAAGAGGGAAGAACAACTATTTGAGTGGGCTCTGACCCCAACAGCAAGCTCAGAGCAGATATGACTCATAAATGCACCCCTCAGGCTTCTTGGGCAGAGTCTATACACTCACGCAGTGGATTAAAAACCAATAATAATAAAAAAAGAAAGAGCCTTTAATCCACATTCCACCCAATTTGGATTAGGGATGTGAACTCAGGTAACTAACATCCTGTGATCAGCCATAATTAGTAGGCTATTGGACACCCAGGAGCCCTTTTCTTCTCAAACAGGCAGCACCTAAACCAGATCTGCTGGAGTTTGGGCACAGGCTTCTACACAAGGAGAGCCCATGCAGAGGGCAATGCCTGATGGCCAAGTTCAGTCGCATCAACCTCACCAAAGCCCCTCTGCCTAGACAAACTAGGCTCGCAGCATGTTGACCTAGCCAATGGAAACATTAAGTTTAGGCAACCAGGGTCATATTCAGATAATCCAAATCCAAGCTAACCTCCACGCCCAATCCTTTTCTTTTCGACACTATGCTATTATATCCACTTCTCCATATACTGGTTTGTTGAGGATTCCTGCCAGGTGCCTGACTGGTATGTCAGAGTCCTACTGGGGAGCAGGGCAGTGAGGCTGTAGTAGCTGTCCACTCCAGGACTGAACAAAATGTATCCAGGTACCTTTGAAGACCTAGTCCTTTGGTACCTTGACTTAACCTTCTGGAAAACAGGAACCTATCATTCATCCTTGCTTTCCAGCAGCAGCAGCATTACAGTTTAAACTCATTAGCATCTGCCAGCTGCCCATTGTGCTTTGTTTCGTTGTTTTGTTTTTTTAAACAGCATCCTACAAGTGTTACTGACAAATTCAATGTGTCCATATAATAAGTATTTATCAATAAAAAAGATGATATTTTACCTTTTAAAAGGAATCCTTAAGCTTTGGACAGACGCATTAATACTGGCAGCCAGGATCTTTAAAAGGGCAAATAGATCGTAAGGTTTTTTGCATCAACTGCTTCAAACTTTATGCAATAGTCAGTTATTCTTCTTTTCCTCCTCAATCAATAGAATAAATCTTGGCATGAATTTATAAAGGCTCAGGAGATTGAGCAGAAAGATGCCGACAGCAGATTAGAAGTAAAGAAAGAAGCCGCCGTGTGGGAACTGTTCACAAGTGAATGCACTTACTTTCTGGATCATTTGCTGGTTCTCAAGATGGTAACTTCAGATTTCCTTTCTCAAAAAAGATGAAACATTGTTTGTCCTTCTGTCAGCATGGCAGACAAAGCTGTCCGTAACCTTTCGTTTAGTGTCTACAGGGAAATGACTAACAACCTTACTATTTCTCCCACCTGGTCATCCTATTTCCACAAGTCCCTTTGTGTGTGTTTTTTTAATCTTCTTGATGGTATCTCTTCCGCTGGACATCATTTTCAGTGCTTTGCAAACAAAATCTGATTGCAGAACTCTCCAATAGTTTCAGCTGATATTCTGCTATCAGATCACTGACTCTGAACTTAAGCCACTCTCCAAGTGGCTTAAGCCTATAACTTACTCTTGCCTTAACTTCACACAGATAGGACAAAAGAGCTGTGATTAGATTATCCTGACTAGAGCATGAAAACCCCAGAGCTGAGTAGACCTGGAATTCTAATATTGCACGAAGAAAAATAAGCAAGCAAGAAAGCAAACAACTCTCCTCTCCCAAGTTGTCTGTATCCTGGTAAATTTTAATAGCTTTGAAAGACAGACAAGAATATTACACAGTTTCACCATTTACATTTAACATACATCAAAAGTGAGTGTACCTGTTTAAAAGAATGAAAGCTTCTCTATTATTTTTCCCTTATCTTGCATAGACAGTTTCAGCTTTCTTGTTACACAAAGGAAGAATAGATAAAATTATTGAAATGCTTCCAATGTTACTGAAGAATTAGTTCAGGCAGAACAGAAAGTACTGCAAAATGAAGGGAATAAAGGCAGAACTAAGGTTAATGCCATCTTGGTAGGGCAAAACCCTAAGGGGAAGGAGAGGGAAGGGCAAGAAGCAGACTAGCTATGGTCACCAGGCAGGATCGAAATGTCCGTCCTTCTGGATTGTTTGCTCAGAGATCTGAGTTGATAAAAGACACATGGAGCCCTGGGAAGCATGAGGATAACAAAGACATGCAGGGCCCTTGGCGAGTCTGATGTAGGAACCTACAGAGGTACCTTAGTCAGCCCTGCATGACCCGTGAACAACACACTATTCAGTCGGCTTCACAAATTATCCTGCCAAAGAAAAATTCCAGCGAGCTTGGGTATTCAGTTTTACACATAGCTGCTAGTCTGAGTGCTTCTCACTATAGAAATATCCCACTGATTTTAACAAATCTCCATGACGTACTTTCAGACCTCTGTAAATCCCCTTTAAGCTCTCAGGTCAACTATTAACAGCAGCTGAGGAATTTTGCAAAGCTAAGCACACACTCTCACCAACTCTTCAATCTTAGCACCTGAATGATAGTTTTTTTCCAATTAATATCTTTTCACAGACAAAAAATATCTGCTTTGTAATCTACACTTTTCAAGCCTTTTTCAGATTTCAGTCATATTTAGCACAACTCTAAGGTCACAGTCAAAGCTTAGGTAATATAATATCTTAAGCAGTCAATAAAAATACCTGTAGTGCTTATTCAGTATGGTTTAACAGAGCAAGCCAAAGAAAAACCTACATAAGCTCTCCACTAACCTTAATGATTTGCTATTCCATCAAGTTTTTTCTCTTCCATACTAACTCCGAACAGTATACATAGCAGTAGATGCATGGCTTAGTAAGGAAAGCATTTACAAAAGCCATAGAAACCTGTAGCTCCTACAACTTTGTTCCTAGTAGCTCCTGCATGCAGATCTGTGGGGACTCAGTGGCCCCTGTTCAGGCATAAAATATGGTAGAGACAGCGCTGCCTCCATCGTGGCTTCACAGAGACCCCAGGGCCTTCATTCATACCTTCCTCCTCACCCAGAGCTCAACATTTAGCCTTCAGGCAGGCCAGGAAAAGTTTCTCAAAATGTTATCTTCTGCATCCCCCCACATCAAGTGACAATTGCAGGAGAATTGTAAGGGAGATAGGTACTTTTCACAAAAATTACTAGATACATTAAATTGGAGAAAATAGTAAATAACATGGATTTGTTTTATTTTTATAGATATTTATGAACACGCTAAAATACCTGCAGAGTAATGAATTTCTGTTGGATGTGGATTTGTGGAGACTTTTCGCAAACTTAGAGGAGTTAAACAAGGTGAGAAAAAAGTGCAAGTCTTACTGAGAACAAAAAGCCAGCAGCACAGCGCATGGAGACAAGAAACTGTCGGTAGAGTTTCTATCCAGATTCAATGCCTGCATTTGGAACTTGGTTCAAATAATAACTTTCTCCTTCATTTCTCTTTGGCATATCCTGGCAGTCAGGTTTCATCAGTGCAAATTGTTCTGATGTGCCTCCAGCAATAGATACACAGGCATCTGAACATGGGAGATAGCTTATTTGACATATTTCTGAAGTAAACATGGTGCAAAGAGTTTGAGATTAGCTCTCAAAAGTGGAGCCCTTTCGGATGGATTTGTCAGGGTAAATATCAACTGTAAAATCATTACAGCAAAACAGTAAGAATAGCAAAATAAATGCATTAACAAGGTTCCTTTCTCAAACTGGTGGCACAAAAGATGTGCTGCTTATTACAGTACTCTAGCGGAATAATGGAGAAAAAAGGAAATTACCACCCCTCTCCAGCCAGGATTTCTCTAGGTATGGTGGACTATCTCAGATACATACCCAAGACTGTGTATTGATATGCTGCTTACCCTCCAGCTTCTAGGAGGAGGGAGAAGATGAGGTTTGGCCATGATGTGCTGCGGCTCTTTGCTGCTTGTGGTCAGCTTCTGGGAGGCCATTTTCAGCTACTGAAAGCTAAAAAGTGGCCCATAATCCAAAATAGCCTTTACATAGCATAAGAATCAAAACAGAAGTATTTCTTATCTTTAGAGGTATGCAGTGAAACAAAATAGGTCATTTCCAGTACCACTGTTTTACAGGACTACGAAGGTGAACACAACACCTCCCCCAAAGAGGGAAGTGAATTTTGGAAGGGTCTCTTCAGTTCCATACGCTGAATGACTGCTCTCATGAAATCCTCTCATATGCCCCAAGCAAACTGTTTACATCAAGTTGTTTCCCTCTTAATGTTACACCCTTACCTTAACAGCTAGCATCCCACTTTTTTGCCAAAACAAGAGCAGCAAAGCTCTTCAGAGTAAGGACTCTGAGGACAACTAGCCAAAACCCAATAACTGATCACACATCAGGTGAGCTGCAGCGAGTGACCGCATGAGCACGCGGGGAAACTCAAGGAAAGACATTTTAGCCAAAGCATTTCGCCTTGCACTTGTGGTGGACCAAGACCACATTAAGGGTCAGCTACTAGAGAGTTCAGTCAATGTGTAGTTTCTGATCCTTTCATGCTTGCTTAAAGAAGGGAATGACCTGTATTGCTATGAGCTATGTAGGGAATAGGACTATTTTTAATATATTTTAAGTTTTTAATGTATTTTCCACTTTCCTTTTCTATTTTATTATCCTTATTAATGAGGATGACAAATGATCATTTATTATGCATGCCTGCATATAAGATAGCAGTCAAATGGAGGAAAAAAGCAGCTGTTCTCGATAGTGTTTTACGCCTTTTACAGCATGCACTTCTGGATAGCCGGCTGAATCAATAAGGAAATGCATGATTTAAAAGGCATAACATGCACCCTTGTCAGAATGAAAGGAAAATGTTGCTACTAAGAGATTCCAGATAATGTAACATAGTAAATTAGGAAAGTTTTTTTTGGAAGAATTTCTGTGCCTGAGCAAGGTCAGGACAGGCTGCAGACAGGCTTGAGCTATTGAAGGCATGTTAATGAGGGCCTGGAAGAGAGTTCAGACACACCTGATGGCCCTCGGATGGGCTGGACTGCCATACGTTCAGCCCGTGCCTGCCCCTGCTCCCATGGGCAGGGTAAGGGACAGTTTGGACCCCTACCACCATGCTGAGCCTCTGCAACTTTGTCTTTGGGACTGACCCAAAATGTTGGCCTAAAGCTGAGTCTGGTCATGAGTTTCCAGGCAAATACTGTGTTCGGGAAGCAACTGTGAGCTTAGGAGCAGGCTTGCACCCACAGGTGACTGACAATGTGGGCACCTTTGGAATCAGCTGCAACCATTTTTAAGAGTAACTTCTTAAGGCAGCTTTTGCATCTTACACTTAATAGAAATTTCCCTCACCTCCCATACCACGAAACAAACTCACGCTATCTCTTTTCCAAATGTCTGTGAAGACTTCTTTAATTGTCACAGCTCTGTCACATACAATCAGTATTTTCTAGTACATACCATTCATTTATTGTAATTTTCTGTGCTGATTTGTGTTAAATACAGCTGCTACCCTAAAATAAGTTTAAATGGAATAACTGTAATCTTGTTTCAAAGCTTTTGTCATATGGCATTATCATGACGTAAGTGGGTATTTTCATAGATTTGCTTTAGCCTCTGACTAATTAAAGCACTTTGGTTGCAATTCAGAAGCTAATTCCGTCAATGTCAGAGAAAGAAGCATTGGGGCCCCATTAGGTCTGGAGTCTTTGGAGAGACCAGAGGTGGGAAAGAATGTTGTTTTAAACTTAGCTTTAGAAGATCAGTCATGCTAATTTCTCTTTTCCTCCCTTATCTAGATGAGTCTCAGTTTTGTAAGCAGTTTTTTTGAAATTGTGAAGGAGTGTGTCAACAGCTCAGAATCGTCTATGGATTTCATCTCCATACTCAGAAAGGTAACATAATCAAAATTATTCCTGTTTAATCTCAGCTGGTCCTTGCATCAGACAATTTATCCTAGCATGTAGGTGCCTTACAGAAATCAAGTCAGCCAAGGCCCTGCCATGTTTCTCAGCCTCTGTCTTGGGGAGGAGGTACGTGTTTAGGAGCATCTCTTGTCAGTAGAATATTTTTATTTCTATTCATTGACATATTTGAAGGGGTCATGGAAAGGTACTTTTAGGCAGACCAGAAAGTGTTATTTCCTTCTTAGGGAATCTTAGCCCAAACCTCGGGGAAACTTAGTCACCGACATGGCTGAACTTCTCACTTCATGGAAGGGAGTTCCCTGACTCCAGACCCCAGCCGGATAGCTGCTGTCCCCTGCATCCTTGTGCTTCACCAGGCGGACGCTCCTTTGTGGCCACTTTTTGTTTTTCCTGAAGATTAACTGGACTGTACACAGCCCCTTTGAAAAATTTCAGTGAGGATGTTTACCTCACCCTAAGACCCACCCCGGGGCACTGGTTTGAAGTTAGCTCCTACTCACAGCTGACATGAGGGCTTTTATTTTCTTCAGAGGAAATCATAGCTCCATTGCATCAGTGCCATTTGCCTAATGCAAATGAAAGACTCAATGCAGTGGGTGAAATCCTGGCCCCATAAAGTCAGTGGCTACATTTCTGCTGATTGCACTGGAGGGAGACTCTTGCTCTCTGGTTTAGCTATGTGTTGTCACTGTGCCTAAAGGCCCGTGCACATCTAAAGAGCATACGCCATAAAGCATTTCCTCTGCATTTTCCTCTGCATGCGTCCCTCCACCCTGCTTATTCATGCCAGATGTCTTCCCTAGCTTTCCTGCTTCTTTCTTGTTTCCCCTACTGTCTATCTGAAAAGATCTTTACTTCAGGGATCTGATCCACAAACGTATTTAAGTGCCTAATTAAGAGATCAATGGGATTAAAATCCTTCGTATACTTTGGCTTGTGTCTGCTAAGGGAGGGGCACAGAGGAAGCTCACTGCCTACTACCTTGCCACTGCCACACACTGCACCCCAACTCCTTTGGGCAGTCTGCACGGTAAATGAGAGAGTGACAACAATGTCCCAGGGCTCTCCTACGTATGTAGTATCTCCTGCACGGCTTTCCAATGACTGAAGGGTGGGAACTATTAATATAGATGGGAAATCAGTGGGTTTGTCATTGTAATAGCTGGACCTGAAATTCTTCTAGCGGTAGACACCATTAGAAAACTTCTGGAAAAATGCTAAGATAGACACTATCCTGAGGTTAGGGTTTTAAAGGGGGCAGGAGGCTAGAGCCTGGCTTCCCACTCCCACTAGCTCTGACTTCAGACTTTCATTTAACTAGTGTTTGTGTGAGACAGACAAAATCCCAGACAAAATTGAGTTTTATCTTTGATTTCACTTAACTGTTCTTAGAGCTATCTGACCTACGTGGATATAAAGTGATGCTATATAAGAGACTATGTAAAACTGCTATAAGGATCAATGCTTTTTATCTTCAACTTTTACATCAATTTCACATCCTTTATTTCTAATGAAAACAAAATGTAACTGTTCTCCTGTGCATTGTTTGAGCACTTTTCTTTTTTACTACATTACTACTTTTATTACTTTTTAACTTGTCCTGTTCTTCTCCTCCCTCCTGTGTTCCCCCATTTTCCGAGGTATGATAACATCTCACATAAAATGCACATTACAGAAACAAATAGAAGTGTTTCTTCTCCCTTTGTCATGATTTTTCTTCTTGCTAAGCTTCCAAATCTTTTTTGCAGTATTTTCAGGGTGACCTCTGTCAGACACATCAGATTTATTGCCTTAATTACTCCTCTGCTGTCTTCTACTTGGAGAACCTGAGACAAAGAGAAGATTTTGGAATCTACCTGAAAGTAAAGTGATGATTTTGCTTTTGTTGTTGCTGCTGTCTTCAGCCTTTCTGTCTTATGACAGGATTTTAAAAGCAGACTGGGGAAGCTCAGTGGTAGCAAAACTGTACATACAGCATGTCACACAGATTTTTGAACTGCAGAGGATATCATAGATGTGAAGTATTTGCTCCCCTGACATGTGGAAGTCCACACTTATAATTTAAAATAGGAAGAAGTTAGAAGCCAGAAAGGAATGACTGGCTACATTTTTGCAGGCAGAAAATACATGCTGCCAAATTCAAGCATCTAAAACTCACATTTATATTTTGCACATAAATCCCTCGACAAGGTGACCTCCACTTTAACAAAGTGAAATGGTGATCATAGCTTCACAGAAAAAAAAAAAAAAAACAAGCTACTTAGTAGAAGCTCTCTCAAGTATTTTTACTTTGATACATGTCCTGCACATCTGCTTGGTCTAGACGTTGGGTGGGACCACAGTATGTAGGGTACTATGTGCTTTATCAGATGACAGGGCTTACGTTCCCTGGAGAAAAAGCAGCATACAGTCTCCACCCTACTCCACCATGCCATGACTCAGTGAGCTGGATGCAAGAGATCAGCTGGAGGGGCATCGCAGGGAGTGCGAGGGCCGATGGCTCTGTACACACACACACAGGCAGCTGGGGTAAAGTCATGTTAGTGGATAAAAAGGACAGGCAATAAAGATGGTCCATGAAAACCAGTAACATGAGCATTTGACCTCAGAAATTGTTATCCACTGATGGCCTGTCCTTGCTTGCATCAGCTATGACATACACAAGCATCAAAACTAGAAGAGTATTATGACTTCCTTCTCTGCTGGGATTCTTTCTGCTGAAGTGGGAAGGTGTGTGATCAAGCCAAAAGAAGATGAAATATAAGAGGGTATCAGTGCTTTCACATGGCTTGGGGACCTCTGATGAGATTGGGTTTTCGTAGAGCCCTAGAGAGAACGCTTGGCTGTTTGCCTCACTTTCAGATGTTCAGTGGCCTGACACCCATCAGAGAGGAAGCAATAGCTATCAGTGATGTCTTTGTAAAGTTGAAACAACGGGCCAGATTCTGTCTTTGCCTACACTTCACCTGTCTGAAAGCAGTAACTCTGGCCAGTGTAGCTGTTGGACTCCCAGGGAGAGGGCTCTGCTATTCCTACTCACCTTAAGCAGACTGGAGCGTCATGTATATGCTTAAGACTGATCTTCGACATTACAGGCTTAGAAAGAAAAACGTGAAGACGTTGGATTTTCTTTCAGGCAGCCCAAGTCAGGGCTGCCTCTTTGTAACAGCCACGAACATCGCAGTCTTCAGGGCCTGGGAATTTCCACACACTTCCTCCCTGACAAGTATGTCAGACACTCACATCTAGGAAAAGGGTCACCAGTGAAAACTCTGAAACATTAGGTGGCCCCCAGACATGACCAAAGTTTGCTTGCTGGCAGATGCGTGGTCCGCTAGCATGGCCATAGCATATGAAATGGGAAGTAGCAATGCAGGATATGCATGTGAAGAAGCAATGCAATTCCTGTTGTAGAGAACTGGGGATCCCACTCTCGCTCTCGCTGGATAAGTTCATCCTTACTTAGTCCTTGTCTCATTGCAGTCAACTGATAATGCAGAAAGCCTTGTTCCTGCCGAGCAGTAAACTGAGGCCTAAAACAGCTTTTCTTTGTCTTGAGTAGTGGTGTGAGCAGAACAAACATTGCAAAAGACTACATCTGCCAGAGCTGCTGGTCGCTCCTCTACATCGACTGACCCGCTATCCCCTCCTCCTTAACAACATCTGGCAGAGGTGCACAGATGAAACAGAAAAAGGCTTTATTTGGTCGGTTAAAGAAAAGGTGGAAAAGTCCGTACGTAAGTAGCTACGGTTAGAAGCCAAGTACGCAGTTAACAACTAGCAAGCTATGTGGCCTTTTTGCCCATGTTCTTTGAGTGTAAATAGGCATATTCCCCAGCAAAGATGCAATAAGGATGTACATGAATTTCTACAATCCTTCTGAATCCTTCTTCATTTTGTGAGAATTGGCTGGTACCAGCCCTTTACTGCCAAAGCCTCTCTGAGCATGGTCATGGGACTCCCAAATCAGTCAGTCACTGGTATTTACGCAGAATCATCTGCAGTGACATGCAAGCAATTAAGAGCAGATCACAAATTGGAACAAATCAAGAAAAATTGCGAACAAAGAAGTCTTTGAGCTAGCTTTATGTCTAGGGAGGTTTATTGGGGCTAACCCTTAATAGGATAGAATTCCCCTCACAAGGGGCATATTATGGCAGTGACCTTTCACTAAATGACAGGGTCCTACCATATAAAGTAGCAAAGAGCTACCTCGGCTACAGAAAACTTTTTATAGCTAATGTGGAAAAAGAAAAGGTTGGTCCAGACATAGATTTTTTTTTCCTGAATTCTATTTTAAGTAAATAATTTATTAATTCAGTCATTTTCAGGAAGTTATAACTGCAGCTGCAAATATCCTATGGCCATATAGTTCATTAGAAGACAGGTTTATTCTCCAAAAGTCTCACGCAGCCCCTACTGAAATCACAGAGTGAGAGGGAGTGCAATGTGTTGGCAAAATGCCTGGCCTGCTGTTACCTGTAGTGAGAGGCACCAGGCAAGCCAGGCAGAGCTTTATCCTTGGTAACAACATGTTGGGGCTGAAGTGCTGACTTGAGCCACTTGCATTAGGCACCAGGCAGATTAATGGAGGCCACAGCACAGGACAGTGTTAAATGGAGGAAGATGGTTCTCACCTGCAGCCCTCAGCAGAGCAACACAAGGAGGGTGCAGCCTTCAGGCAAGCCGTTGGAAATAGCAGCTGAATCCCAGCCTCTCGGCTCCTCAGCATAACACATAGCCACTGGTCTTTGGATTTGAGACACTCTTACTCTTGTTCTTGCTGGGTTTTGTGGAGTCCAAACTTTGATGGCCTGCACTCTCTGCTTCTTATCAGGAAGTCTCAAGGAGTAACGTAGCATCACAATCATAGCCTGCCTCCTGAAGAGGCAGGCTGTGGCCTGTCCTTTGTCACAAAATACAGCAACATCTCACAACAGCGCAGCCCAGCGCTTAGTCTCCCTCCCAGTTTCTGAAACCTGGGTTTAGTCTTCTTCTGGGTGTGACTTTACCCAAAGGTCTCCCTAGTGTACGTTTTCAAAACTATGTGCCAAGCACAGCTACGATAAGGTGCTCTCTCGACTGTTAGAACTTCTTCATTTTGCATGGAATAATTAAATATGCACTGTGCCATAAAGAGGATGCTCTACAGTTAGCGCAAGTACCCAAAGGGTGGGAATCTACTCCAGCCGTTGCTCCAGTACCACCAAATATTAGATAATGAGACATTAACTGGAATAAGGATTTGAGCTTTGGCCTTCCTCCTTGCAAAAGGGGTTTCCTATTCAGCAAAGAAGCAATGACTGCTCATGGGTGGAGCAGTTGCTCTGTGGAGGACTGAGCACTGCCACCCTTCTCTCCATGCTAGAGGTTGAAGGCTGGAACATCTCACTGGGAGATGAGACAGAGAGAGACAGTTAATATCTTCCAGAGAGAAATAAGTCTGGGGCTCTTGGTTCCCAGGTAAACACTGCAATGACAGAATTACTACCTAAAAGAGAGATTCGGGTTCTTTCTTTTCTTGTCGAGTTTTGTGAGGACACTGATCTAAATTCCATCTGAGGAAAGCATTTGTCAGCACTCAACACTTCTCAAACACTTCTCAACAGGCCTTGTAGGAAAATAAAACTTTTTGTGGCTAGTCTGTGGATTCTGATTTCTGCTGGGAAGTAGGCAATTTTGGGCATGGCCCAGTAAGATCTTGTGGTATCCAGGGAATTTCACTGGTAAAAATATAGGTTCTTCCAGAGTTTAGATACCTCTGGGGTTATGTAACTGAACTCTTAGATTTTGGGGATAGTAGGGCGCAGGCCTACAAATTTCTTTTATTCACAAAGACCAGACAAAATCTGCCTTCATTTTTTCAACAATAAATCAGTGACATAAGGAATAGCTGCAATTCCAGCACTTCCTTCCTGGCATAAGTGTGCATGTGTGTTAAAAGAAAAAAATGCAAAATCACTCTACATGAAAACTTAGAAATTAAATTGCAGGTCAGTTAAAAGTTTTGCCCCTTAAAGGCCCTGAGTCAGCAAAGATTTACGTTTCTATTTTTCACATTCTGAGAAGTCCCTATCCTAGCTAAATATATTAATCAGTTATTGTACCACTTCCCCTTAAAAGATTCTCATTAATTTCAGCAGCCTTTCAATCAAGCTGTAAATGACCAAAGTTATTTTTCTCTCACTGCCACAGAATAGTTTATAAAGGCAGGGGGTTTTTTTAAGAACTTTTTGAGATAACCATTTAAGTGAATTTTATATGCTCCCCCCTGCTCCCCAATCAAATTAGTAGATAGAGCCTTTACATTCAGTAATGAATTTGGGCCTGTTTGAATGCATACTTGAAGTCCTAGCTCAGCTAACTTCAAGAATAGTGTAGTTATCATCTTTAATGAGGTCAGGGTCTCATCTAGGGTTTCACATGTGAGGCCAAGAGTCCTTTGGCTTCCTCTAGAGATGATCAGTATTGAGCATCTTCTAGAAATAGGCCTATTTTTGTGAGCAATGGCAGTAACTGGTGTTTTATATATTTCAGGGGATCTGGAAGGTAAAGTCAAATGGCTGGACAACTTTCAGAAGTTCAGGCAGCTGCATGAGGTCATACTTTGGCCTCAAGTCTGGGATCGTGACAAGAGATTCTTTGTTCCAGAGGTAAGCAATTTTTCAAAAGGGTGTTTTTTCCTCTAGGAAGGTTTAGTTTGCAATTTATCCTTATGAAGTGGTCTAAAATTGGTCTGTTGTGTATATTCTAGTTACTGTAGATAGCTCTGCTCTAACAGGAGGAGCCACAGTCTGAGCACTGCAAACCCTGCACATGAACCAGCAGTCTGTGCTCCCCATCCCTTGGGGATGGTCCCTTGGATGGCAGCATGGGATGAACTGAGATGAACCCTTACCCACGTAGCCAGACTTCAAGCGGCAGTATGGTATCATCCAGTGGATCTCACCTTAAGAATTATGTCTATTCACATGCAGTGCTGCTAAAATCATTAAACTCACTCCAGAAAAGAAGAGCCCAGCCTAACATTTCAGAAAATGAAATGCTTTTAAGCAATAGCATTGCCATGCCCGATTGTTAGCCTTGTGATATATTTGCTGGAGATAGCAGTACCTGTGTTCTCAGCTTGTTTAACTGTTGGTTGCTTTCCAGTTCATAATCAGATATGCAAGATTCCCCATTCTCTCTCTCTCTCTCTCTCTCTTTTGGGTCAAGTGCTTGAAACAAAGCTTAAGAGAAAACAGCAGGGAAAACATTTTGTCTTCAATGAACAGGCTTCTTCTTCATGAAGGAAGGTTAACGCTAGCAGGTAATGTCCCTAAATGTCCCTGTATTAGCAACTAGCCTAACAGAATTATATTCTGATATGGTGGGTCCAGAAGGAATCTCTGCCCCATTATTTGGGCAGGTGCAGGAAAGAGAAAGCAATCATATGGCTTGTCAGAGAGAGACTGGGAAATAGCCAAACCGCCAAAAGGATGAGTACTCTGTATGATTGTTTATTGTCACATCTGGATGTTCAATCTGCCAGACGCTGAAGTATTCAGCTTGATTGGCCAATGTCTGCCTTTCAAAGGGAGTGTTTTATTGTCATATTCAAGAACGTAGCAAAAGGACGGAGGACAGAGGAAGTTTAGACTGTTCTATACAAGTGTCCTATGCACCTCTTGACTGATGTTAACATACCTCACATAGCTGGGACTATGTCCTCTACATGGTGTATTTTGAACTACTGAAAAGTCCAAAGGGTTTGGGGGTTTTTTCCGTATTTCAGCTTTGAATGGCTTTGCTAAGAGAGCTGTTTTGATGGATAGCTTGGAAAAATGGCAGCATTATCATGCTGGGTGGCTTCCTTATTATTAATAGAGCACTCACAGAATAGAGAACTTGTACCGTTAACTGTAGCGCAGCGGTCCCACGTGAGTATGTTGATTTCTCCAGCAGTGCCAGCAGCAGTCAATCACCCTGGCAGAGCACAGGCTCACACCTCCAGACACGCAGGCACCACTCTGTAACGGGCACAGGTTTCTTGTTGGAAAGCTGCTGAAGAATCACTGCCCAAGCAGGGGAGGAAGATTTAGTCCTTGCCTGAGCAGGAAGGAGAGCCTGGGCAATTTGATCACCTTCTGTGCTTGAAACAGAGGAGCATTTGCAAGGATATGGGAAGCTGTATGCCAGGGTGGCTGAAGGGCTGCATGGTGTCTTGGCAGAAAGGGACACAGCCTCTAGCTTAAAATTCCCTGACTGCTTTGTCGAAGGGCAGAGATGAAGAGAGTAAGTGCCCAACATGTGACTTCTCTGTCTCCCACCATCACCATCATTGTTTTAAAGGGAGCTGCAAAGGGATGAGGTCTGTTTTTCCTTGTTTTTGTTTTTCTTCCCACATGGGGCAAGGTCAAGACTAAGGAGATGAAAATTTATGGTGGCAGAGGAGAAGGTGCAATGCAAGGGACACTGGGAACAGAAGAAAATATTGCTGCTGATGTTCAGGAGGGGTTGGGGAGAGGAGGAAGAAAATCCATTGAATCTGGTCCTTCCTCTCCTGACAACACTTCCCTCTGCACACATTGCCCTCTTAATGAAACATCAGTCCTGAGGCAGCGAGGCAAGGGTGCCTACCAGCCATCTGCACTACTTTCTGGGACGCATGTAATCAGAAATTGGAGAAGGAGGCATGGCTCTTACCCACCACGACAGCCAGCTGCCTGCAGTCTGCAATGTAACAGTGTCTGGCATTTGGCCACCTGTCCGGATGAAGTATCTTCCAAGACATAAAAATGAAATCATAATTCAAATAGGATGCTGCACACCAGAAAGAAGCATGTTCTAAAGCCACAGCTGAGCAGACTCACACAAGTTTGATATTAGGGTGCACTGTGCTTTTCTGAGTGAAACTGAAACCACTGAGACCACACTTGTGTGTGATTTTTGGTAATCCTGGAACTGAGGAGATAATAGAGAAAATGCTAGCAATAGCTTCCATCTGAAGAAATGCAGATACTTTCTCAAAATTTTCAAGGATCAAAAGTCTCATCCTTCTGCCATCAGCTACTCATTAAAAATAGTACAATCAAAAATTGATGTGAAGTAGTAATGGGAGCTGGAGACAGAGAAGAGTCAGAAAGCTCTGAATCAGCACTCCACAAGGTCAAACTACCACGTCTCTATACGAAAATAGGGGAAAATTTATGAAATAAAATTTTAAAATTCAAGAATGAAATGCACTTGAGGAAGACAAGATTTCCACGGATGTGGAATTCATCATGAAGAATTTTTGAGAATACCACTTTATCATCCTTCAAAAAAATGTTGGCTCCATCAAGAAAATGGAGACAGCTTATAATTTCCATTTTTTTAAGCGTTTGGGATGTTTGCTGAACCTAACAATAACTTATCCACAAGACAGAACAAATAATTAACAAATGCTGTAGACCTACTAAAAGTATGATAAGCACATAACGTTCAAGGAGAGGCTGAGAGAACTGAGTTTCTTCAGTTGTAAGAAGAGAAGGCTCAGGGGGAATCTAGCTGCTGTCTTCAACTGCCTAATGGCTGCCTTAGGGAAGATGGAGCCAAAGTCATCTTGGAGGTGCACAGTGAAAGGATAAGAGGCAGCAACGCAAGTTGCCACATGGGGTGTTCCAATTACATATTTGGAAAAGCTATTTAACATTTAGGTTAGTCAAATTTTGAAGCAGGGGCCAAGAGAGGCTACAGAGTCTCCATTAGTGGACATATCCAGAACTTAACTGGACAAGGCCCTGAGCAACTTGCTCCGGCTTGGCCTGCTTTGAGCAGTGGGTTGAACGAGAGACCCCCAGAGGTCCCTTCTAAACAATGCCATTCTATGATGCTGTGAACAGAGCAAATAAATGAAAGAAACAGAAAAGTTTGTCTATAGCATTAGACAGAGTTTACAACAAATAATTTACTCCTATGTAATACCCACACATACAGCATACTGCTGTATAAGAGATGTTATAAGGAACCCTCCACCAATTTTTTGACTTCATAGAAACTTGAGTATTTTTTAAAAGATGTGTAAGTACATGCTAACTTGCTTGTTTATAGTCTTCTGAATGTCCAGTGAGATACAAGAAGTTCCTCATGGTAATTTCTTTATTACCTCCAGCTCCATCCAGCTAGCTGACCCATGACTTCATGAGCTTTCTAATTTTCATTAGTTACTGATGGTGCCTTGGGCAACCTTAATGAGACGAGACGTTTTCCAACCACAGCCTTTCAGAACCAAACACCCAAAAATTGTTTTAGCATCCTGCAGATTGCCTGGAAGCAATAGCTCTAACCACTCTGCATTTTCTGTGAAGAGTAGGTGTGCATTTGAGAGTACCTTTCATGCCCAGAGAGACACTATTGGTATGGCATGGCCAACGGAAAGATTATAAAGCATAAAGCCTTCAGTAGAGAAAGGAAGTGATTCTGGAAGTGAAACAGAGCAGCAGACTGGGACCAAATAGGGAAATAAAGAAGAAAGGGTCATGGAAAGGGAGAGGAGGAGCTGTAAATAGGGACCAAGGTCGAAGGACCAAACCGTGCAAATCCAGCCCAGGAGAGAGATTTCTAGGGACTCTAAAGTCCAGATTTCTTGAAGGACATTACTTTAAAAATTACTCTTCCTTCTTATAAACAGTTCCTTATTATTTCTGTGAAAATGCCTGAGCTTTCAACAGGTTAGGAGCTTACCCTTAAAGACTTTAGAGCATTCTCACAGAAATCTATTGTTATACTTGTTACCTCCTTGTGATCTCCAAGCTAGGAAGAAAAGATAAGCCTACTATTTTGTGTAGTTTTTGAAAGTCCTTTATAATGCTATCCATTAACATTTCATCCATGCAAATTATCTCTGCAGATTTCAGAAGGTTTCCTGTATACCTGGTAGGATTTGTTAGGGTTGGAGCATGCTGATCATTATATTCCCAGGTACTGCAGGTGATCCAGGTCATCTTTAGTGACAGGAAACCAGTTATTTGTTTGTAATGAGGCAGATGCTACAAGCTACAAATGTTAATATTCAAAATCATCAAAAGCTGTATGCTTTTTAAGTACTGCATTTGAGGGTGCAGACTAGGAAATGAGTGTTGTCCTGGAAATCATGCTTCTTTGTTAAAATGACTTGGCAAGATGAAGTGATTCATAGATGTGTCTCATCTTAGAACTTGCAGTTCCTTAAAATAAACATGCCATCAAATTGATTTTTTTGTTTTTCTCTTTAGAAAGTACAAGACTCCTTGATGTCTACCTCTTCCTATTTGATGATTTCCTATTAATTACCAAAATTAAACGTAACAAAAAGGTAATGATGGATAGAGACATTTGTGGTTATGGATGATATTGTGTTCTGCAGCTTCGTAAATTTTTTGAATGTATATTGAGAGACTGATCTTTAAAAAGAAAAATGCAAGAAGACTAATAAATGTGAAAGGCGACATTTTCTTATACTGATAGCGCACTGCAACACTGATTCAAAATCCTGCTTCTGGATTCTGTATGTTATAGGAGCATCATGATAAGCAGAGTTGACTTTACTAGCCCTTAACATTTTTCTGATGCTGTTTGGATGTGCTGGATTTCTACAGCTCACAAGAGTTTTGAGAATGTAAGAAGTTTCCTCATTTTCCCCTCGTGACCTGAGAAATTTTTATTCCAGAGATGGCACAACCATTGGAAAGAAGTAGAAAAGGGGAAAAAACAGGGAAACACTGAAACGGATGGGAGCCTGGCTTTATTCTCAACTCTGACACAGCCCTATTTTATGTTGCCTCTCCTTGCCTTTATTTCCTCTACTTTAAAATGGAGATAATGACTCTTAAGAAAAAGCTTTTGAATCTGTTGATGCTGACAGAGGCTATAGAGACGTCTGTGTGAGAGGAACCTCAGCATTTAGCTACCAAAAAAAGCACTGGACACCTAGAAATTCCTCAAGCTTCAGTGTCAAAGGATATCTAGCTAATTAAGCCTATGACGCTGACGTAAACTAAGGCAAAGTAGACCTGCCCTAATTTTCAAGAAGGTTGTACCTGATTTCAATAGAGGGTTTTTGTTTGTTTGTTTCATTTTGTTTTAAGACAGCTATTTTACTTTTATAGGCAATGTTGAAGGCAGTGAGAGGCTCTAGATCAGCAACACCCTTCCCTAGCGGGGCGATGGAAGGAGTGGGCATTCAAGGGGCCTGGCATCCGCAGGGAAGGTTCATCAGAGAGCTGGTCCCTACGTGTCCCCCCCGTGAGGGCTGTGACCCATCCAGAGCCCACGGAATTCTGCATCCTGCACATGCCCCAGGAAAACATTCCTCCAAGGAATGGAGAAAATCTCCTCCTGACATTAAAAGGAGAAAAAAAAGAAAAAAAAAAAAAGACATTCGAACAACTCCAGCTGATTTTTTTCCTACCTGTGGGCTTGCATTATGTTTCCACTGTGTTTTTTTAATACAAGGTGGAATTTTAACAGGTCAGCTCCAGGTATCTTTAAGAAAAGGGGGTTCTGAGGTTGCACAGGCATATAAGCTGTCAGAGTACCTTTGATAAGAAAAATTCAGTAATTTAGGACTGCTTAGTGCCTAGAGTTTGTGCGCAGATGGCAGACAGCCAGCAGATAAATTTCTTTTTCTCTTCCCAGAAACATGGGGGCTCCGACACAGGCTTAATCCCTGTTTGTCCTTCCCTCGCTCCGGAGCTGCAGTCACTCATAAGGGAAGGCGGGTTTTGTACAGTCCTAGACCAGCCCATCCCGTTAGACAGACTGATACTGAGAACCGTCGATCCCTTCCACGTAACAGGTATGTGCCGTGTGTACTTGGATGCTTTTATCAACAACATCTCTACACATTGCATATCCAGCGGTGTAAAGGTAAAGTGTCATTTGCCAACGTGCGGATGTGTGGGGTACAAACACCGGTGCCTCAGCACAGACCTGCTCTCACTGTGAAGCATTACCTGCTTACACTGGCATTACATCTTACTTTCCCCCTCCTTTAACAGTTATTTTCACGTACGCATCAGAGGCATTCGGATACTATCCATTCAGCCCAAAGGACGTATAAAGACTCCAATGCCTTCTTTCTCATGCACCAGGTATTTTCTTACCCTACTTCTCCTGGCATGGCGTCATGGTCTATCAAGCACAGGGCCTCTTCCCAAAGGACATTTTCAATTGCACTGTAGCGATGCAATGCGTTTCCAGTGGTCCTGCTGCCCAGCCACGCAGTGCAAACCTGTGCACTTCTCTCTTTGGGATCTTCACACTCATTCGGCAGCAAAGCTTGAGGAGTCCAGAGAGGAGATTTACCTTCCGCTGCTGCTCTCTGCTTACTCATCTCCCTGCTGGCCCTTGGGAGGACGGAAATCACCCATCCTAAGTCACTGCTTCCTTGCTCACAGACATCCCAGCACAGTTCATGCGATGTCCAGTCAACATACAAGACCTGCAAAAGACTGCCTCCGATAGCATCTGCTGCTAGTCCTCTTTGGGCAAGGAGGGGAGAAGGACCTCCACACAGAGTGACTAGGTCTGGAGTAACCGGAGTTTTGGTGAGGGAGAAGGCATGAAAAACCAAGGCTCTCTCTCGCTCTGAGCCACTCATATAGGCAGTGCATGGCTCTCACACCTTCTCAGATCTCAGGAGCCTGCTATAAGAGAAACAGGAGAAATACAACCACTGGGCTCCAGGGCCTGTTAGTCATCCTAATCCTAAGGAGTGGGAGGGAAAGCTCAGGGAGCTAGAGTGCTCTATAAAAAAACAAAAGATATGGAAATAAACCTTAAGCCCATAAAATCCATTATAACCTTGAAATGTATTCACCCGGACTGATTAGCATTCAGCATCAGTGCTGATAGGAAATAAAGGTAGGACATAAAAGGCAAATGACTAAAGATGAGATAAGGGTTTTAGCACAGAAATAATAGAATAATCTTTTTTTAAGTGTACTCCAGACACTGTCTGCCTGCCTAATGCATCTCCTCACCAACCCAGTGTAAATCAAGCAAACGAGCAGGCTGCTTTTCAGCCCGCAGGGTGGAGGCGAGGGCAGCACCGCTTTCCTGCCAAAGTCCAGACCAGACGCAACGTCGGCAGCTCCTGGGTGCTACGAGAACAGAGCACAATCACTGTCTAGTTCGCTCCTACTCCATCGGGCATGAAAGCCATAACAGAGATGAGAAAAAGCCTTTTGAATTCTTCCTAGCTTGCGTTTGCTATGTCCAAAGGCTGCTAACCTGTGCTCCCTGCGTCTGTCTCTGCACCATTCCCAGCAACAGAGTCTAGCTCCCTCTTGCTTCTCTGGTCCCGTGACCCAGCCACAGCCAGCAGAAACAAAATTACCGCATTGCATCCAACACTTTGGACCATATTGCCTGATTGTTCTCTCCCAAAATGCTCCTGCAGCCCTATTACAGGCTGCAGCCACGACAGTCACCGTTACTTGCCTGGATTCTCGTAACACTGTGGATGCCCCATCCTGCTGCAGGACAAGGGTGGGGTGCAAAAGAAATCCTGACAAAGATGACTACAGACTGTTTTGACTTGCGGTTCAGATTTCCACTGTTTTGCATAAAACAATGAGCGAAACTGCCCATATCACTGGAAAATCGTCCTTTAAAGAAAAAATGAAAAGATTAAATATCCTCAAAAATCTGTGACATTGGGGAATGTTGCTGACTTATTTGCAGGCTCAAGGAGACGCCATGGTGGCGGTGCAAGACTCATTATCATTAATGTTCTCAGAAAGCTGCTTGCACAGGTCAGCACGTGGCTTGTGGTGAGCAATCACTCTAATTAAAAGTGAAATCCTGATTTTTGATCTAACAGGTACATTACATCCATCAGTTTACTGAAGGCTGATCCTGCTTTGGAAGGAAATCTACCTCAATACAGAGACTAGGGAAAAAAAATAAATGTAGCAATGTAGAAGTACCCTTTTGGCAGCCTCTGGCAGCAGGCTGGGGGTTGATAATTCTGCCATATAATTCTAGCCTAAAGCCTGTCACATATCAGCAAAAGGATAAGAGGTATAATGGTATGCTCATAACACCAGGAAGCCTGCCCTAAAGGCAGAACTATCTGCAAATACCAGGCCCTTTCACAAGAGATATAACTTTGCATCCAAGTGTAATAGCAAGCATCCATCTTTGAAGAGTGTAAGCAGCAATATGCCTTTTGATTTGGAAATTGCTTTGCTTTTAACATTCTGCTCTGGATTTAATCTCTGCAATTCCTTATTATCAATCCACTAAGAATGCTTTACTCTAAGTTGGAAGGGGCCAGACCCGCCAATATGCCACTGTATCAAAGCCAGGTAATCTTTACAGCTGCAAATTCTTTTTTAAAAAACACTGCTATGAGCCTGTTGCTGAGCATTGCATTGCTTAGAAAAATTCCTTTTTAGGACCGACAAGTTGTATTTCCCGTCAACCACAGACAGACATGAGGCATGAGTTCTGAAATATAGTTTTTCTGCTGCTACAGGTTTCCTCTCCTGACTGATTTGCTTCACTAATTTAACTGGTCTATGCTTCACTTTCCTTTTCTATAAAATTAGGATCATATGGCACTTTATCTTCCAGAAATGTTTTGAGATCTAACTGTAAATCATTTGCAAACGCTTGGAGAAGAGGCGTTGTACAACAGCAAGACAGTCTGTATTAGCACAAGACTTCAGAGAAATCCACATGAACTGGATAAACGGTTATCCCAAAGACATTTGAACCATAGCAGGCTTGGAAAGACACCAGTCTGCCTTGGCAGACCGAGATCTGGGCTGGATGGGCAAAGGAGAAGGGCACCCTTCTCAGGAGAGCGACCCCGCACCTCCGTGCCCACGCTTTATTTACAGCAACTTGTGCTCCAGCTTAAAAAAGTCAATGCCATGTGAATCTGGGGATTATAATAGAAGGCGGGGATGGGGCCCAATGCACCCCAGAGGTCCCTGCACCACCTTCTCGCCCCGAGCGACTGGTGGACTTCTGCTGCAGGAGCCAAAGGGTGCCTGCTCCGGTGGGGCGTCTGCGAGGCGGCTCCAGGAGGAGTCCGGCCCACCGTCAGTGGCAGCACAGCCCTTGCTCTCGTAGTAACCCTCATGTCGTAGTAACCCTCAGCCAGACTCGAAAGCAGCTAGCTGCACAATTATTAAACAGTTTAAAATAAATAAATGCATATAAGCAGAATTAGCTTTTTGAAATAACAAAGCTTCCCACACAGCAAAAAAATGACCCCACCAGGGTGCACTGCTCTCTTTAGAATTAGACAAGGTGATTAAACGTATCATTTATTCAGTCACAGTCAATGTGATGGAAAATTGGAGTGACCGTTGCATGAGGGAATTTATATTATTTCTCTGTCTTTTTCCATAGTCTTCAGCCTGCGAAATGCTTTCCTAATACAGCATGAAAATCGGTATCAGCAGTGCATAGCAGTCTTCTTGCTACAAGCACAAACAGAGACTGCCAAGGTAAGTACATCTTTTTTCTTTTTTTATTACACAACTGTGCTTTTCCTGAAGGAAGACCTCAGAACAGGCATATTAGTACTAAGAATTTATCAAAGTAGTTACGTTTGACCAAAACAACACAAAATAATCCTCCCCTCCACCCAAGTTTGTTGGCTCACATATTCTATCTGTTATAGAAATTTTCCAGTTGAACATGTATCAATGTTATATTTGAGAACTTTATCATTTCCGATGGCTAAAAAATTGCCAGTTCTTGCATAACAGGAACGAGGACAGTCAGCCCCTCCAAAGGAGTTAAAGCCACTCTCCCCAACACAAACACTGTAGTACTCAGACCAGGAAACTCTGTTATGCTCATCTAAGCACAACCTGCATCTTGCAATTTCAGTTTGGACAGATGGTATGATTAATTCCACTGTTATATAAATTTACCCCTCATTTTCACACCGCATCACATTTCTAGTAACAGCGCGGTTCATAACATCCAAAAGTGCGGTAGGCATTTCACAGAAGCATGTGTGTATGTGGTTTTTTTTTTTTCCTGTGTGTTAAATTTCATTCTCTCATACCTAACGCACAGAAAATTAACTAGCAGTAATACTAACGCTTAAGAATGAAGCACAATAGATGGATTTTTCAGAGAAAAGCAGTGAGTGAATTCTTTCTGCTTCCAAGTCACTGGTTCATACCTGAAACAGGTAACCCCTTGAGGAGCAGTTATCATCTCTGTTACAGAAATACTACCTTGCCCTTCCAAAGCTGTCTTCACCTCAGGTCGCTTCCCACTTTCCAATGTCTCACAACTTCAGTTTGTCAGACAGTCAAATCCTGTAATTAAAGGCTCTTTTCACATTGATGTGGTAGTATTACAGCATTTTCTTGTCTCAGGGCTGATCCCTTTAGAAAGGCAGACGCTACCTGGTTTTGTGAGAAGCAGTCTCACTGTATGTGGTAGAAGCACCCGTTCGCAACACAGTCAACATTTTTTTGTCTTTTTTTTTTTTTAAAGAAACTTTGCTAGCCAACACGACCTGATGGTTTTACCTGGTATGATGCTCAGGGAAGATAGGAAAGATCTTCTCGATAAGATCTCCTGACATTTGTGAGGACTATTGGGCAAAGGGCCCTAAGGCGGCAGCCAAGAGAGAGACAGTAAACTGAGTGAAGCCTGGAGTGCCATGTTCTCCTCCCCTCGTGAGCAGAAGGCTGCCAGGCTGTGACCTGCCTCCCGGGTTTCCTGATTTTTGTGTTCTGCCCTGCAGAGCGGCTGC